TATAGTGACACGTTAAAAACAAACATACATTTCATTAATGGAAATTATCATTATATACATACAAAACCATTTATTTTTAACTTTTTTGAACTGAAATTCAGAATAGTCATATGAGAAATTTGTTTCTTTCTATTAATACATGCTTTTACTCCATTCATTTTCTCCATAATATTCCAAAAATCAAACTCTATAACCCTAGCCTTATGTTCAACTTGTTTATCCACCATTCAATGTTCTAGATTTTTTTGTCACTTATCCAGTTTTCTTTTTCTTTAATAGCTCCTATAGTATCCTTTCTTTGTTAACTGAATCGCTTAGATTCTGCTTTCATCGGTTCAACTCCACTTCTTTGGCAAGTATAATGTTCTTCATTAAATCAAGCAGCTTGAGCTCATTGGCCGAGTTTGAAGGCCTGCTAGATTTGGGAGAGAATTTCGACCGGTTGCAAGATATTTTAAGAGCAAAAAGAAGTAAATATTTTTAGTTAATCAGGAAAATGAATGAGTGAGTGCTTATAAAGTGAAGTTTTGTTATGGTTTTACTAGGTTTAAATAGACTTTGGATAAAATAGTATGTATGGATTCTAGTGAAATCATAAAGGGATGTTATTGTGATATGTGAAGTTTTTGTCCATAATAGGGTGATTGGAAAAACTATTTCCTATTCTAGTGTGGTTTCAAAAGTATTTACCATATTAGTATTACTCTAATTTAAAAACTACTATTATTGCTTAGAAAAAAACATGTTTTTTATTCATCCCTGCCCCTGGAACAAAGCAGTGTACAGAAGAAAAAAAAAAGACAAAAACTCAATCTAGGGCTCCACTCCCGTCGCTCCTCCGCCTGCAGCCTCTTCCACCCATCTTCGGCCACCTGCGGACTCCTTTACCCGTTGTCAGTTCATCTCCAACACAGAAACCTAAAGGTATGGAAAACTTAAAGCATTTATGATTCTTCCAGTTTCAATCTGATTCAGATTTTAATTCTTCCACGCAATCCGATTTTGATTCTTCTCGTTTCCAATTTATATGCATTGTTGATAAATTTTTGCATCTTGTTAACTTTTTTGTAGATGGATTTTATCACAGCTTGTGTTTTTATCTTTTTGTAGATGAAAATGATTGCAAACATGTCATTATGTTTCTTTTTTCTTGTTATCACAGATTGGTATGATCATTTTTTAATCATTTTTTGCTTGTTTTTGTTTGTTTTGTAGATGAATTCTATTATAGACATGATTGACAATAATTATTTTTCTATAATCTCTAAGTTGTTGTGACTAATGAGATGAATATAGACAATGAAGTTGAGTTAAATGAAATATTGGAAGATGGAATTGAGATGAAGATAATGAAAAAGCATCTTTTGACAACAATGTTCAAGTACCTTCAACTTTTACTAATATGGAAGGAACAAATTTGACCATTGGTGACAATTGGATTGTGTCACGTTCAACAAGTAAGAATGACTTTACACGAGAATTGGGAAAATATTCTTTCAAGGATAAAGAGGAACTTGTTAGAGCAATCAAGATCCATTGCATTAGGACACATAGACAATTTGAGGTCATTGACTCACGCCCAACTACTTGGACTCTACGATGCAATTTATATTAATCTGGTTGCAAATGGAAACTTCATGCAAGTAAACGAAAACGTAGTAGATATTTTGAAATCACAAATTATACTGGTTCACATATTTGTTTACGCTATAAGTTTTCTCAATACCATCCGAACCAAGATGCAAGCTTGATTGCTATGGAAACTAGGCACCTTATAAAACCGCAACCTTCTATCAACATTCCTGCTTTGAGAGCTGAAATAGTTGAAACATCGGGCTATACTCCTTCATATAAGAAGGTTTGGTTTGGAAAACAAAAAGCAATTGAACATGTGTTTGAAAACTAGGAAGAGTCTTTTGTCGCTTACCAAAAGATATAGGCGCACTTCAAAAGTTCAATCCATGAACTATGGTTGAATGGTGTGTTTCAAGATCGACTAATGTGGATGAAGTTGGCCACAATCACCATTTAATGCATTACTTCCAAATTTAGAACTGTTACGGAATAAAAAAAAGTTGTCCTCGTTCAACAAGACTAAAAAATGGTATGGATATTAAAGAATGAAGAAATGTCACTCTTTGTGGAATTTGTAGGCAACCGGGTCATAATTAAAGACGATGTCCGTCTAAGCCAAGGTAATTAAAAAGACTATTTTTTATGGTATTGTTGTAGCTATTCTCTTTTTTTTCTACATGTAAGGATTTGTTATCGGTTCAAGTTCAAACTAATTGTGATGTTTTTCTTTTTATAACAAACGATGTTGGAGTTTTTTTTACTTTAAAAACATTGTATGTGTAATGTTGAAGTTTTTACATCTTAAAATTATTATAGGTTTAATTTATGATGGCTAAAATTTGATGGTCAAAGGTTTGTATAAGAAAAACGTATATTTAAAAAAAAGATAATTAAAAAAACTGTAATTAAAAAAAACAGTAAAAAGGGTAAAAAAACTTAAATAAAAATTGTTATTTAAAAAAATAATAAAAAAAACTAATAAAAATGTGAAATAAAAGAGAAATGGAGAAAATGGGATATATATAAAATAAAAAAACATTAAAAAAACTGAAAAGTAAAGAAAAATGAAAATAAATACTAATATGACAAATATTTTGTAAAATACATTAGAATGGAAAATAGTTTTTTCAATCACCTTATTATGGACAAAAACTCGTGATATGTGGGGATAAGGTGTTTTGTGGGAGTTAGGTGTCATCCATTAAAAACAACGGAAATGAAATATTGTTATTTTGTAATCCGAAATCCAAAGGGAAAATGACACATTAGCCCTACTAAGTATTGTACATTTGCTCATTCAGTCCCTTAAGTTATTTTCGTTCTTTATGAGGGAACAAACTTATTAGTGACCTGTCCATTTAGTCATTAGACCTCCTGTAACCGGTTAATAGTATCACGTAATTAAATGAAATGCCACATAATAATCTTTTTTATCAAAAAAGGGCCATGTTGATTAGGCATCTGGTTGAAAAACATCCCTGACTTCTTTCAGACATTTCCATCGAACATTTTTTGTGCACAGTTCATCCTCGACTTCTTCTTAGCTAGAATAAACGAAAATGAAAACTAACTTTTGGATGCAAAGCCATTAGTAGTGGAAGGAAACAAGAGCAGATCATGTAAATGGAAGCTATCTATTATCATGCTGGTGATTAACTCTAAAGAGGAAGGAGGAAGGAGGAAGACGATGGTGGAATCGTCGAGGTTTAATGAAGGAGGCCGCTGGTGCTCAACTAACTGAATGTATAGTTAGTTATAAGAGTAAAAAAGATGCCAATTCCCTCTAGAATCCATATCTGGTAGAACCAATATTGCATTCTTCACAAATTTGCTAACATATTTGAAGGACCATGGATGATGAATTGGAAATATGGGATCTCTTCCTTCTGATTGTTTCCACACAGGCTGATAAGTAACCTACTTCAAAGCATCCTGAAATTATAAGTTACAACAATTTTAGCAAAAAATGGAGGTCGATTACAGAAAGAACATATGAAAGAAATGGCTACGAAAGCTTGAATACACACTCACACCTGTAAAGCATCTTGCATTGTTGTTTCTCCAACAAGAAGAAGCTAATAGTTGTGAAAAATGGAACTTAGAAAAGATCAGCATCCTCCTTCCGGTGAACTCTTACAACACTTTTCAAAAGCCTTTCGGATTCTGAAGTAATCAAATCCGCCCACAGCCAGTAGTTAATTGAGGGATGTAGAGATCGACAATCAAGGTAAAACAAGTTAAAATGGATAATAAAATTGCATTTCTGGGAAAAGAAAGAACATACCTGTGAGAATTTTAGAGTGAGAAAGAATTGTGAGAGAAGATGAAGTAGGAGGAGGAATTTTTTGACTTTTCAAAGTCAATGCTTTTGGAAAATGGGTTAATGTCTATGTGGCAAAGGGGTAACCAGGTTACCCATTCATTTTGTCTAAAGTAACCAAATCGACCCGACAAAAACCATTTTGTTCCCTTTAAAGGCACGAAAAAAACTTTAGGAACTTAATGGGCAAAGTTGTAATACATAATAAGGTCGTTGCGTCATTTTTCCAAATCCAAAATGTATGTTCGTAACGAGACATTACAGATTAGTAATCCAAAAATAAAGTGGTCATTTCCTTTTATTTTGTCATTCCAAAGGGTCATATTTATAAAAAAAACTTAAAAATGGAAACCAAAATCCTGAAAATCAAACCCATAAAATAAATTCATTTGTGGTGTATGTTCGATCGAGTAAGATGAATCTAGGGTTCTTCATATCAAAGCTAAATCTTTGGTTATGTGGGTTCTTCAAAACTAGACTAGAAGAACAGGTTTAAGCTTCATGAGAAGAATATGTTTGAAATTTTTGGTGATTTGTGATAAGGTGAAGAGAGAAAAAACTAACAAAAGGGAGGCAAGAGGAGCCGGAGAATTGATTTTCCGGTGAGTTATAGACGTTGGCTAGGTGTGTATGTGTGTGTGTGTGTGTGAGAGAGAGAGAGGAAGGGAGGTCAATGGTGACCTGCGGAGTAGATCGTTAACAAAAGAGAGAAATGAGAGGGACTGATGACAAATGAGAGGGACTGGTAAATGGTCATCGGCCCCCATCCGAAACGCCGAAGGGGTGATTGTACATAAGATTTAAGGGATTGTATATTTGGTTACTTGTTAATTCTATAAAATAAAAGAAATAAACAAATTATAAATTTTAAAAATATATATATACAAAAAGAATGTAGTAGTACAATCATTATACATCAGCTAGGGACCAAAATTGAAATGAAAACAAATCATAGAGATGATGAAAAGAATGAGGTTAGGGATGAAAGTGAAACTTGAAAATTACCCCGAAACATATGGAATTTACTCTTTTATGAATGGTCAAGATTCAAGACTATTATATCATAAGTGGTACCAAAGTATAGAAATAATGTTGAGTCTGAAATCCTTCCTATATATATTAAACCGTTTGGCAATTACAAGACATGTTATTTGTTTAAATTTTGGTGAATTACAAATAGTACTAGCCAAATCTTTTGGCGACGAGTCCTTGAATGGAGCCAGCCAAAATATAAAGTGTTACGATGAGACAAAAAATGGTATAAATACGAAGAAGAATCCAGTTGAGGGACCAAGGTACAACCTTGTTGTGCACAAAGTACATCTCAACAGGGAAATAAATGGTCAAAGGCCAGAAGATGACCGACCCTGCAAATGCCACGACTTGGTTGAAGTAAGGGAACATCATCCCTACTGACATGGTCAATATCACGTATATCGTCCGAAAGCATATTCTAACAGGATTCACTCTTTTTATAGTAATAAACAAACAGACCCTAACATCCCTTTCCCTTGCTAACATGCTTTCTGGGAACTTTTCAGCATACCATCTTTCCACAATTGCAAACAATGTCTGACTGTATATCTGCCAACATCCACAAAATCAAAATTCAAATTATGAATTTATGATATCTTAAATTAAATATCATTACCTGATACCCTCCAACCAGATGGAGAACAATGCATGCGTTACCAAAGTCTATGAGCCAGAATGGTTCATAGAATCCAAGCCCAGTCAAAAGATTCCCAGGAGTCGAATCTCCAAAGGCTGCATACCCACAACCTGTTAAGATTTATGGAGTCATGAACAAATTGACAAGTTCCTAAGAGTTTAAGGGCCATAAATGTAACTTAGCAATTAACAATTGAATTAATATTCAATTATTGAACGTCCACTTGTTACGGTGCAGAAGGAAATTATTGGACGTCCACTAAAGCAATATTAAATTGTTTGTGGCAAAAGGAAATTATTGCATCACTATCACAACTCCACTTTCTCCATGTGCAGATGGAATTATTTCAAGCTATGGAGCTACTTTCTTCAATTGGCAGACAAATTGAATGGTGGAATTTACAAATTGTTGGTGGAGCATTATTTAATTGGTGGAGATTGAATTCATGCACTAATATCCAACTATAAATAGGTCCTTCGGCAATTCAGAAACATAATCCCATAAGCTCAAAACAAAGAGCAGATAACAAGCCTTTTGAGCAGATAAATTCCAAAGAAAATATTGTGAGATATTTTGTGCAGAGTCTAAATTTGGCAGCCAAAATTAGAGTGATACAATATTGTGAGTGATCAGATTACAAGTGCAGTTTAAGCCTTGTATGATTGTAATTTTCTTTAGTGTTAATAAAATCCCCTCTCTCTCGTTCGCCCGTGGATGTAGGTCAGATTAGACCGAACCACGTTAAATATCGTGTTCAATTTCGTTTGCAATTTTTCAGTAGTTTTATTCCGCTAGTGTCACCGAAATCATTTATCGATTTGTTTGAAGTACTTAACTTGTTTTGTTGCATTCCCAACAAACTGGTATCAGAGCTATGGCTGAAGATGGGAAAGTTAAGATCGAAAAATTTGATGGTCAAGATTTCGGTTTCTGGAAAATGCAAATTGAAGATTATCTCTACCAAAAGAAGTTACACCAACCTTTGTCCAAAGACAAACCCGAAGAGATGACGCAGGAGGAGTGGGACTTATTAGATCGGCAGGCACTCGGAGTGATAAGGTTATCATTGGCAAAGAATGTAACTTACAATATTGTCAATGTGAAGACAACCTACAGTCTGATAAATGCGCTGTCTAATATGTACGAAAAACCTTCAGCGGCAAATAAGGTTTTCTTGATCCGACAACTTGTAAATCTGAAGATGAAGGAGGGTAGCTCGGTGACAGATCACGTAAACGAATTCAACTCAATAATATCAAGATTGATATCTGTTGAACGAAACACATAAGTTCTGCAGATGTTCCTAGCAATTATGGAGTCATGAACAAATTGACAAGTTCCTAAGAGTTTAAGGGCCATAAATGTAACTTAGCAATTAACAATTGAATTAATATTCAATTATTGAACGTCCACTTGTTACGGTGCAAAAGGAAATTAGTGGACGTCCAATAATTTCCTTTTGCACCGTAACAAGTGGACGTTCAATAATTGAATATTAATTCAATTGTTAATTGCTAAGTTACATTTATGGCCCTTAAACTCTTAGGAACTTGTCAATTTGTTCATGACTCCATAAATGTTTGAAGTACTTAACTTGTTTTGTTGCATTCCCAACAAACTGGTATCAGAGCTATGGCTGAAGATGAGAAAGTTAAGATCGAAAAATTTGATGGTCAAGATTTCGGTGACACTAGCGGAATAAAACTACTGAAAAATTGCAAACGAAATTGAACACGATATTTAACGTGGTTCGGTCTAATCTGACCTACATCCACGGGCGAACGAGAGAGAGGGGATTTTATTAACACTAAAGAAAATTACAATCATACAAGGCTTAAACTGCACTTGTAATCTGATCACTCACAATATTGTATCACTCTAATTTTGGCTGCCAAATTTAGACTCTGCACAAAATATCTCACAATATTTTCTTTGGAATTTATCTGCTCAAAAGGCTTGTTATCTGCTCTTTGTTTTGAGCTTGTGGGATTATCTTTCTGAATTGCCGAAGGGCCTATTTATAGTTGGATATTAGTGCATGAATTCAATCTCCACCAATTAAATAATGCTCCACCAACAATTTGTAAATTCCACCATTCAATTTGTCCGCCAATTGAAGAAAGTAGCTTCATAGCTTGAAATAATTTCATCTGCACATGGAGAAAGTGGAGTTGTGATAGTGATGCAATAATTTCCTTTTGCCACAAACAATTTAATATTGCTTTAGTGGACGTCCAATAATTTCCTTTTGCACCGTAACAAGTGGACGATTCAATAATTGAATATTAATTCAATTGTTAATTGCTAAGTTATATTTATGGCCCTTAAACTCTTAGGAACTTGTCAATTTGTTCATGACTCCATAAACAAGTTAAGTACTTCTAAAAAATTGATATAACGATTTCGGCAACACTTACGGAATAAAACTAATGAAAAATAGCAAACGAAATTGAACACGATATTTAACGTGGTTCGGTCTAATTTGACCTACATCTACGGGCGAACGAGAGAGAGGGGATTTTATTAACACCAAAGAAAATTACAATCATACAAGGCTAAAATCTGCCCTTGTAATCTGATCACTCACTGTAAGATATCACTCGTAATTTTTGGCTGCCAAAAATTAAGGCTCTGCACAAAAAATAATACCTCACTAATTTCTTTCTGTGTATATACAAGAACTTGAGTTGTGTTGCTGCTCTGCTGCACCTTATACAATTGAAAGAATAAGAGACCTATTTATAGCCTTTGAGTCGTAAACCATTTTCCTTCAATTCGCACAAAATTGCCGCTTTGTTTGACTTTTAAAAGAACACGTATCAATTTGCGGCCGAAAGTTGTTTCTTTAACAAAAGAAAGCCACCGTCCAATAATATTCAATTATTTTGCCGCACCGTCCAATACAACAATTATTAAACAATTGTTTTGCCGTCCGTTCAATTTTAAACAATTGAATTCAATTGTTTAATAATTGTTGTATTGGACGGTGCGGCAAAATAATTGAATATTATTGGACGGTGGCTTTCTTTTGTTAAAGAAACAACTTTCGGCCGCAAATTGATACGTGTTCTTTTAAAAGTCAAACAAAGCGGCAATTTTGTGTGAATTGAAGGAAAATGGTTTACGACTCAAAGGCTATAAATAGGTCTCTTATTCTTTCAATTGTATAAGGTGCAGCAGAGCAGCAACACAACTCAAGTTCTTGTATATACACAGAAAGAAATTAGTGAGGTATTATTTTTTGTGCAGAGCCTTAATTTTTGGCAGCCAAAAATTACGAGTGATATCTTACAATGAGTGATCAGATTACAAGGGCAGATTTTAGCCTTGTATGATTGTAATTTTCTTTGGTGTTAATAAAATCCCCTCTCTCTCGTTCGCCCGTGGATGTAGGTCAAATTAGACCGAACCACGTTAAATATCGTGTTCAATTTCATTTGCTATTTTTCATTAGTTTTATTCCGTAAGTGTTGCCGAAATCGTTATATCAATTTTTTAGAAGTACTTAACTTGTTTTGTTGCATTCCCAACAAACTGGTATCAGAGCTATGGCTGAAGATGGGAAAGTTAAGATCGAAAAATTTGATGGTCAAGATTTCGGTTTCTGGAAAATGCAAATTGAAGATTATCTCTACCAAAAGAAGTTACACCAACCTTTCTCCAAAGACAAACCCGAAGAGATGACGCATGAGGAGTGGGACTTATTAGATCGGCAGGCACTCGGAGTGATAAGGTTATCATTGGCAAAGAATGTAGCTTACAATATTGTCAATGTGAAGACAACCTACAGTCTGATAAATGTGTTGTCTAATATGTACGAAAAACCTTCAGCGGCAAATAAGGTTTTCTTGATCCGACAACTTGTAAATCTGAAGATGAAGGAGGGTAGCTCGGTGACATATCACGTAAACGAATTCAACTCAATAATATCAAGATTGATATCTGTTGATATTGGATTTGAAGATGAAGTCATGGCGTTGCTACTATTATCATCGTTACCCGATAGTTGGTCTGGCACAGTGACCGCCGTTAGCAGTTCAGCCGGAGGTGCCAAGCTATCATTCGAAGGTATTCGCGATTTAATCCTTGGTGAGGATGTGCGCAGAAGGAGTGCCGGAGAAGGTTCCAGTAGTCTTCTAACTACTGAAGGCAGAGGAAGAAAGACCAACAGAGGAGGTGGTGGTAGAGGAAGATCGAAGTCAAGAAAGAGAGGTCAGTCGAAGAACAGACAAGATATTACCTGTTGGAACTGTAATGAGAAAGGTCATTTCAGAAATCAGTGCCCAAAGCCTTCGGCAGACAAAGGCAAGAAGGAAGTAAATATGGCAGCAGATTCTGAGATGATGCACTCATTTGTTGTGTTGAAAACTCAACTGAATCCTGGATCATGGATTCTGGTGCGTCGTTTCATGCTAGTCATTCCAGAGAAGTAATGTATAATTTTAAGCAGTACAAAGGGAAAGTCAGATTAGCAGATAACAAGAGCCTGGATATTACTGGAGTTGGGGATGTGGTCCTCAAGACAACCTTGGGTACGAAGTGGACTTTGAAGAATGTCAAGTTCATTCCAGACTTGAAAAGGATGTTAATATCTGTGGGGCAGCTTGATGATGAAGGTCATCATGTTACATTTGGTGATCATCAGTGGAAAGTGACAAATGGAAACTTAGTTGTTGCTAGAGGTCAGAAGCGGGGTACACTTTATATGGTGGAAGTTTCTGATGCTGAAGCACATGCTGTTGAAGAAGTTGGGGCATCTACTCTATGGCACCAAAGACTTGGCCATATGAGTGAGAAAGGAATGAAGATGCTAGCCTCCAAAGGAAGAATACCAGATCTGAAGACTGTGACAGTTGACTTCTGTGAGCCATGTATTATGGGTAAACAGAAGAAGGTTACTTTCACAAAGATTGGTCATCCGCCGAAGTCCATGAAGTTAGAGTTAGTTCATTCAGATGTTTATGGTCCCACTTCAGTTTCTTCAGTGGGAGGGTCCCGATATTACGTTACTTTCATTGACGACTGCACAAGGAAAGTTTGGGTTTATTTCTTGAAGCATAAGTCTGAAGTTCTCAGCACATTCAAGAAATGGAAAGCTATTGTAGAAAATGAAACAAACTTGAAAATCAAGTGTTTCAGATCAGACAATGGGGGCGAATACAGTAGCAAAGAATTTGTTGATTATTGTGCTGACCAAGGAATCAGAATGCAGAAGACGGTTCCGGAGACACCTCAGCAAAATGGAGTAGCTGAGAGGATGAACAGAACATTGAATGAGAGGGCTAAAAGCATGAGACTGCATGCAGGTTTACCCAAGATGTTCTGGGCAGATTCGGTCAACACAACTGCATATTTAATCAACAGAGGACCCTCGGTTCCCATAGGGTTCAAGATTCCAGAAGAGGAATGGCAAGGTCGGGAGATTTCGCTCAAACACTTGAAGGTATTTGGTTGTGTCTCGTATGTCAAAATCAAAGACTCGGAGAGAGACAAGCTAGAGGCAAAGGCAAGGAAGTGCACCTTTATAGGTTACGGGTTGGATGACATGGGGTACCGCTTCTGGGATAATGAGAATAAGAAGGTTATCAGAATTCGGGATGTGGTGTTCAACGAAAATGCTCTATACAAGGATGAACTTGCAAAAAGTTCCAATGGTGACAAGCAACCAGAAAAGAAGGATCAAGTTGAGTTAGAAGAAATCTCAGATGATGATGTTGTAAAACCTATTAGTACTCCAGAGATAGGTGAAAGTTCAGGAAGCAGTGGGAGCTCCGATGTATCTGGAGATAGTGGGAGCACAGTGGATAGTAGTTCAGAAGATGAGGTTGCAGATGATGCAGAAACCGAAACTCCTATTATTCGTAGATCCACTAGAGCACGAAGACCTCCAGTAAGGTATTCTCCTTCAGCTAATTACTTGCTGTTGACTGAGAATGGTGAACCTGAATCTTATCCAGAGGCCTTAAGGATGAAAGATTCCATACAGTGGAAGACGGCTATGGAAGACGAGCTGAGCTCACTTGATAAGAACCATACTTGGTCCTTGGTCAAGCTCCCGGCAGGGAAGAAAGCATTGCAGAACAAATGGGTGTTTCGGGTCAAAGATGAGATTGATGGCACTAAAAGATACAAGGCCAGATTGGTAGTAAAGGGTTTCCAACAAAAGAGGGGTGTTGACTACAACGAGATATTCTCCCCAGTTGTGAAGATGACTACAATCAGAATGGTCTTGGGAATTGTAGCCTCTGAAGATCTCCATCTAGAGCAGCTAGATGTGAAGACAGCTTTTCTCCATGGTGACCTGGAAGAAGACATCTACATGGCACAACCAGAGGGTTTCCCAACAGTTGGCAAGGAAAACCTGGTGTGCAAATTAAAGAAAAGTCTGTATGGATTGAAGCAAGCTCCAAGACAGTGGTACTTGAAGTTTGATAGCTTCATGCAGAGGAGTGGGTATCACAGATGTGAAATGGATCACTGTTGTTACTTGAAGAAATTCAACTCCTCATACATCATCCTGTTATTATATGTTGATGACATGTTGATAGCTGGGTCCGACATGCAGGAAATCAACAAGCTTAAGAAGCAGTTGTCCAGAGAGTTCGAGATGAAGGACTTAGGGGCTGCTAAGCAGATATTGGGCATGAGCATAGCCAGGAACAGAGTTACCGGTACATTAAAACTTTCACAAGCTAAGTACATCAAGAAAGTTTTAGAAAAGTTCAGCATGGCAGATGCTAAAGCCAGAAGTACACCTTTGGGAAGTCAGTTGAGACTCTCAAAGAAGCAATCCCCAAAGACGGAAGAAGACAAGAACCAGATGACTAAAGTTCCCTACGCATCTGCAGTTGGTAGCTTGATGTATGCTATGGTATGCACCAGACCAGACATTGCTCATGCAGTGGGAGTTGCGAGCAGGTTCATGTCAAATCCAGGAAAAGAGCATTGGGAGGGAGTAAAGTGGTTGTTACGCTACTTGAAAGGAACATCTGAGGTTGCCCTATGTTTCAGAAGAAAGGGTGTGATCTTGGAAGGGTTCGCCGATGCTGATTTGGGTGGATGTGTGGATTCAGGAAAGAGCACAACAGGTTATGTGTTCACAATTGGAGGTACATCAATCAGTTGGATGTCCAGGTTACAAAAGAGTGTTGCTCTCTCAACCACAGAAGCAGAGTATATGGCTATTGCAGAAGCAGCCAAAGAGCTTATATGGTTGAAGAACTTTCTATCAAAACTTGGAATGTATCAGGAGGATTGTGTATTGCATTGTGACAACCAGAGTGCAGTTTACTTGGCAAAGAATCCAGTGTTTCATAGTAGAACGAAACACATTCAGATGAGGTACCATTTCATTCAAGAATTAATTAATGATGGAACTCTAAATCTGAAGAAAATCCTTGGAACGAAGAATCCAGCATATATGTTCACCAAGGTGGTTACCACTGAAAAGTTGAAGCTTTGTATGGCTTCAACTGGCCTTTCAGAAGTTTGAGAAAAGGCATGGCAGAGAACGAGAGAGAGAGTGTGTGTGACTAAGGAATGTCGCAAAGTTTTGGATGGCAGAGAAAAGCTAAGTTGTTCAAGCCTCCAAGTGGGAGATTGTTAAGATTTATGGAGTCATGAACAAATTGACAAGTTCCTAAGAGTTTAAGGGCCATAAATGTAACTTAGCAATTAACAATTGAATTAATATTCAATTATTGAACGTCCACTTGTTACGGTGCAGAAGGAAATTATTGGACGTCCACTAAAGCAATATTAAATTGTTTGTGGCAAAAGGAAATTATTGCATCACTATCACAACTCCACTTTCTCCATGTGCAGATGGAATTATTTCAAGTTATGGAGCTACTTTCTTCAATTGGCAGACAAATTGAATGGTGGAATTTACAAATTGTTGGTGGAGCATTATTTAATTGGTGGAGATTGAATTCATGCACTAATATCCAACTATAAATAGGTCCTTCGGCAATTCAGAAAGATAATCCCACAAGCTCAAAACAAAGAGCAGATAACAAGCCTTTTGAGCAAATAAATTCCAAAGAAAATATTGTGAGATATTTTGTGCAGAGTCTAAATTTGGCAGCCAAAATTAGAGTGATACAATATTGTGAGTGATCAGATTACAAGTGCAGTTTAAGCCTTGTATGATTGTAATTTTCTTTAGTGTTAATAAAATCCCCTCTCTCTCGTTCGCCCGTGGATGTAGGTCAGATTAGACCGAACCACGTTAAATATCGTGTTCAATTTCGTTTGCAATTTTTCAGTAGTTTTATTCTGCTAGTGTCACCGAAATCATTTATCGATTTGTTTGAAGTACTTAACTTGTTTTGTTGCATTCCCAACACAACCACCACAACATAGGTAGAAGAAACTAGTTGTAAAGATTGCAATGCTGGAAGCCTTCTTCATTGTCTCTTTTTGAGATGGGGGTGTCATCAAAGTGCTCTATACCACCAATCATCAATCATCAATCATCAAACAGAAAAAACAAGGACACTGAGATCACACTGTACCTGTATTTCAAGAAGGATGAGCGAAAACGTAAATGAAAATGCAATGTCTCCAAGAGCTTGAGCAACCAGCCATACTTTTTGTGTGGGGTTGGTTGTTGAGATGCCATTGATGCTACCTTGGATCTTCCCTTGTCCTGTCCAATTTCCATCACTTCATCAGATGCTTCGCTCGCTTAAATTGATGATCGATTGAGACTTGAGAGAGATCCATACCTATTACTTGGGCCAATCCAAGTCCCATTCCAATAAAAGAATAGGTGAAGGACATGGTTGCAGCAATAACCGATAGCCATTTTGTATGAAAAATGTTGGGTATTTGAGACGCTACTATTTCAACAATTCCAAACAAAAGCATATAGTAGGTATCCTCATATTCGCAAGCAGCTTCATGCCCTTCTTTGTGGTAGCAATTTGATTGCCTAATTGCCCTGTCAAAACCTTCAAACTTCAACATTTCATAACAACTAACATATGCAAATTGTATACATTTCATTCAAATGTTGACACTTGACACTTAGTTGTTGCTAACACAATAGAATTTCAATTCGTAGAAAATTTAGCATACCTCATGCTAATCGTAGATGTAATTGTATACACAACTCCTGTTTTGAATATATTGAAATATACCAAGCATCCACATACCCATCCATTTTTCTTTCCTGAAATCCAAGTACAAACTTGTAAATGTAAATTGATGTTTATGAACAAGTCAAAATAATAATAATACAACCTCACCTAAAATAGTCTGAACCGCCTGCAAGTAGGAGCGGTTCATAATCATGGTGGTGGTGCCATTGTTAGGGTTAGGGTTAGCATAAAGATGGATGTCACAGATAAAGGATGCAGAGACAAGGGTAAAAAAGGCGAAGAGTAAAAGAGACAATGGACCAGCAATCCACCCCAGCTGTGCCATGCTCCATGCCAACGATAGAACCCCTGATCCTATTACTCCTGTTATAATATGTGCTAGGGCTGTCCATACATTGCCTTCAATCAAAAACACAAATATCAATTCATTAACATCATCATCATCATCAAGTTCCTACACCCTAGTCAATATCGTCAGAAACAAAATTAATCGGATCGCCTTATGAATTTAAAAGACCCGTTGATTAATTCACTGACAGAAGTAGACTCAACCAGTTAGTTTATGAGGTGAGGTTTGCAACAATGGCGTCTGCTGGTCTCGTCCGGCCATTGGTCGATTCTTCTTTGTTCGATATGTGATAATACATATCTGTTTTTCTATTTATGATAGGCTTTTTGATATAATAAGTTTTACAAATCTTGTAGAAAAACATCATAAATGGTCCCTTAAATGGTCCCTTGTTTCTTCATATCTGAAGTTTAGTCCTTGTGGTTTAAAAACATCATAGATGGTCCATGTGCTTTCAAAACGTTTGACGATTGTTTTTATTGCTAACTCCGTGAAGTTTTGTCCGTTAACTGAAGGACATTTTCATCATTTCACTACCATAGGGACCATTTATGATGTTTTCTCTTATTTTATAAAAAAAATATGCAAAGGTTCTATGGGATCTTTTGTTGTAGATTCGTTTACTTTTTTGTATTGAAAAACGCCAATAGGAAATCATATAGCATCTTTGATGAATTTTTTAATAGAAATAATTGTAAATATGTTACAGATGAACGTTTTCATAAATATAGTCCAATTGTTCCGATTAGGGTTCTTTAGTTAAAGCTTTCACTTAATTTTGTGATTCTATCTGCACATTTTAACTGGTTCGAGCCTTAATTTGTTAATGGCGTCAAGATCTCACAGTGGGCAATCTAGGGTTTCAAAAAACATTAAGTTTGGGGTATCAAATGTGGCGAATTGGAGGCATGGTCAGAAATTTTCATCGATATATGAGCAAATCATTAAAGGAACAAAAATCGGTTGATATTAAAAGAATAATATGATCAATTGATGATTCCTAAGAAATTAATTCCATGCTGGTGTGTGTTAATATATATATATATATATATATATATATATATATATATATATAGAGAGAGAGAGAGAGAGAGAGAGAGAGCAGGGGCGGAACACGGACATTAAAAGTCAGGGGCCGAAACCAAAAAATTTCAAATGTATTATATGTTTCTTTTAAAAAAATTGTCAATAGTTAATAGTTTTCTCACATTGATTTCTACTACATAACACAATTAACTAAGAATTAACAAATAAAAATAAAATAACAATTTATAATTATAAGAAACAAGTAAGTATTTTATTTTTACAAAAAATGCTCTATAAAAATTATAATTAACCTTAATAACAATTAACAAATAATAACATAACTAACACATAATCCAATGTACATAAAAAAAACTAACGGTTAATATATGAATATTACTAACAATCTAACAGCTAACCTATGGATATTATGAATCATATAAGTACATGAATATACATAAATATGTAACATGCTAACAAAACCAACAAAAGTTAACATATGAATATGTAAGTTGTTTCTTTTACGTATAACATTGTTATTATTATATAAAAATAATAAGTGATAGTTAATCTTTTGCAGCCTTTATTGCTTTAACAGCTATGACCTAAACCTCATACTTCACATCTCTTTTCATCACATCTCATTTTGAGAAAGAGAGAATACTTCACATCTCTTTTGAGAGAGAGAGAAAAAAAGAAATACGTTACAGTGAGAAAGAAAGAAAGACTTACAAAGTTACAAAGGTTAAGAGACATTGTTGAGGCGGAAAGGAAGCCATAGAACATGGTGGTCAGCATAAATCCGTTGGAGAGGAAGCTACCAAATGATGCTGGTCGGAATAGTAGTCGGCAAACGACTGAGATGACTGAGGAGAGGCAGAGGCCGAGTGTTTGTACGGAGAGGAAAGACGAACGGAGAGAAGGAGTGGTTAACACTCCGACGGCGGCGGTTGGATTTCCCGATGAACATTTTTTTTTTTTGCCGGCGACAATCTTTTTAGTTTAGGTTTTTGGACTTTCTCCTCTGTTCATAGTAGTTTTTTATTTATTTTTATAGAGATTTAATTTCCTAATCTATTGTTATTCTAACTAACATTGAGATTGGTTTTGATTTTCTTTCAGAAATTTTCTGGATTTTTGGTTCGTAATATTTGGCTTCCTAATTTATCGCTTGTTTTTCTTTTTTGTAGTTAAAAAGTGATCTAATTAATATTTGTAGAATTAAAACCGGGGGGCCAAAAAGATAGTTATAAAACAACCCAATCTTATGTATATATGATGTACTGGTATTAGGCAAAAAAATCAGGGGGGCCATGGCCCCCAGGCCCTATAGAGGATCCGCCTCTGAGAGAGAGAGATGTTACAAAAACAGAAATAGCAATGTATATTCTTTTTTGCCACACATATACACATCCATACATACACACATACATGATAAAGTCACACATACATACACAAAGACGTGCAAAAATACATTGTCACAAACACATACACAATTACAACACTGTCTTTTTGAAAACTCTACCAACTATAAAAAGACATAATTTATAGTATATTACGAATAATTATTCATAATAATGATTATTGGTTTGTGAAAACAACTATTTAAAAATTTTAATTTTTATATATTTTTACAACCTACTAATATGAAAAAAAAAATTGTAAAAAGATAGGAAATGAATTGAAAAAGAATAAACTTTTAAAAGGAAAAATCTACACAAGAATATATAAAGTAAACAAATAAAATGTCAATTTTGTAAAATGAATTTGTAAAAACACAGTTGTAAAAAAAGATTTAAAAGGAAAAATTATTTATCAAAACAATCCAAGTTTTAGAAAAATATATAAAAATAAAGTTGGAAAACTTTTAAAAAAAGCTTGGACCAAATTTGAGAAAAACTAAAAAAGGAACTAATATAAAACCTGAAAATCGGGTGGGCTGCCATGAATCCGAATTCGAAAAAAAAAATTAACAACAGGGACTATTTCTGTAACTTTTTCTCTCTCAGAGACCATTTCTGTTTATTTGAAAACTACAAGGAGCAAAAAGAAAAAAAATATACTATAGGTTATCTGGTCTTGGGATCCATATTGTGAAATGTAATGTATATAATTTTGGAGAAAAATACTAACCAAATCTTTTGGAAACCAATCCTTGAAGGGAAGCAGCGAAAGTAAAAAATGTTAGAAGCATACAAAAAATGGTATAAATACGAAGAAGAATCCAGGTGGCTGTCCAAGGGAGAATCCTGTTGTGCAGAAAGTACATCTCAACAGGGAAATATATGGTCAAGGGCCAAAAGATGATTGATCCTGAAAAGGCGAGGACTTGATTGAAGTAAGGGAATAAAATTGCTACTGTCGTTGTCAAAACAACATATGTAGTTCGAAAACATAACCTAAAAGGGTTCACTCTCAAACTCCCAATCCCAACATCCATTTCCCTTGTGATTATCATGCATTCTTGGAACTTTTCCGCATACCATCCTTCCACAATAGCAAACAATGTCTGACTATATATCTGTAATCAAATCAATGTATCTTATTCTTAATCAACAAGAAAGAAAGAAGACTGAAAAACCACAATCAAAAGTACCTGATAACCGCCAACTAAGTGGAGAACAATGCATGCATTACCAAAGTCTACAAGCCAATACGGTTCATAAAATCCAAACCCAGTCAAGAGATTCCCAGGAGTTGAATCTCCAAAGGCTGCATACCCAGATGCACCACAGCAGATGTATAAGGAAGCAGTTATAAGGACTCCAATAGTGGACACCTTCTTCATGGTCTCTTTTTGAGGCGGAGGTGACTTTAAAGTGCTCTACAACAGAAAAACTGTATGAATCATCATCTTGCTTGGGCCAAATATTATTAGTATTATTATGCATGCTTGCCATACCTACCTGTATCTCAAGAAGGATTAATGAATATGTAAACGAAAATGAAATATCCCCAATAGCTTCGCCAACCAACCATACTTTCTGACTTGGATTACTAGTTGAGATTCCATTCATGCTCCCTTCAATCCTCCCTTGTCCTGCCATATTCAACTTCTTCATCTTTACATGTACATGCATTATTAATTTCCGCTCCAACAACAACATTTACCTATTACTTGGGCTATCCCAAGTCCTATACCAATACAGGAATAGGTCAAGGACATGGCTGCAGCAATAATTGAGATCCATTTCGTATGAAAAATGTTGGGTATTTGAGAAGCCACTATTTCAACAATACCAAACGCAACCATATAGTATTCATCTTTGTATTCACAATCACCCTCATGCCCTTCTTCATGGTAACAATTTGATTGCCTAATTGCTCTATTCACCAAACAAATTCAGTATATAATATATCTACTAAACACAAAATAGAAAATCAGATACTGTTGCAATGACTGAATCATGCATTAATTGTGATTGTAAAATAAAAGCTGCACATTGCTTACTGCTTAGGCAGAAAAACTTAAGTTCCATACTTCCATTCCATTAAGGTACAAATATAAAATTGGTAAAAAAAAAAAAAAGTTATTAAGCATACCATACCTCATGCAGATTCCGGATGTGATTACATAGACAACTCCTGTTTTGAATAGACTGAAGTATACCAAGCATCCACATATCAATCCATTCTTATATCCTGTGATCCAGAGTACAAAAGGAGATAGATATTAAGTTGCAGCCTGGAAGTGCGTGCGTGGTGCTTATAGGTCTCACCTAAAATCGTGTGAACCGCCTGCAGGTAGGAGCGATTTATGGTAATGCTAGGGTGGTTGGAATAGAGTTGAATGTTGCTGATAAGGAAGGCAGACACAAGGGAGAAGAATGCAATGAGTATAATAGATAGTGGGCCAGCAATCCAACCCAGCTGTGCCATGCTCCAAGCCATTGATAAAACCCCTGACCCTATCACTCCAGCTATCAAATGTGCTAGGGCTGTCCATACGTTTCCTTCCCCATCCACAACACAAACCAAACAGATAAATACCTCATAAAACTCAATACGTAATTACATCCCCAAACACCACCAGAATCTACTTTATACCTTTAAAAAATCAACTTAACAAATAACCTTTTTTCCCCTTAAATTCAGCTCGTATCGTATCGTTTATTGATTCGTTTGATTTTCTAATTCATGGGGCACGCATATAAAGAGTGAAGTAGAGCATACCGGTGAGTTTAAGAGTTGAGGTCTGCAGCAATGGCATCTGTTCTTCTTCCTCTTCGTAGTCGTCTCCAGGCATTTTTCCTTGATTCTTCCCTGATATACGAGATAATACGTGGTTTTGTGTTTTGGAAAATACTGAACCTCATCAATATTTATCTGATTGGTGGTCGGTTTCCTTGATCTCCAAAGATTCCTCCCAGAAGACTTCCGAAAAAAGGGGTGGTTCTTTATAAAGTTATATTTAGGGTTGATGTCACTTGAGGGTAGCAATGTTTTTCGAATTAGTTTAAAAGGTTCCTGAAGTTATTTTTTTGGCTTAACATAGGCGTAAAGTGGATGCTGACCTGTTTTTTTGGTCATCCATATAGCCAGTTTTATATGCCATGTAAGTACTTGAAATTTATGCTCAAATGTTGATGTAGGAAGATGTGGCTTAAAAATAAAAGTCTAGGGCTAAAGTAGACATGCACACATATTTCTAGGGACTGTTAATGTAAATATGGGGAAATGTGTATAACCCATTAGATAATGTACATACAGAGGTTTGAATTCCCGGTTCTAATTCTTCTTTGTATCTTTACGCATAAAGACATACATATTGTGGAGGGTGGAGATTTAAGAATAGTAGTGTTTCAGTTATAACTTTACAGTGGATAATCAATCATATTTCTGCAGCAAGTGAAAAACCATACTGTTTTTGGGTGCATATTTTACGTGATTTTTTTTAATCTCAAATCAGGTAATTTATATTCATTTCATTGTGTCGTATTTGTTTTGGTGATTTGAATCGAAAATGGGGTCCCTCAACAAAGAAATTTTGTGTTGATGTGGAGTTTGTAAGAACGCACGCAAAGTGTTCGATAAAAGTTCTCAAAGAGGTCGAGTGGTGTTCTTGGGGTTCAAGAACAAGAATTTGTTTTAGACATTTTGTGCATTTTTAATTAATTAAGTTATACAGATTTCGATTAGCCTATGTATAACCTGACATCCGTTTCAAATTCCGATTATCATATATTCCAATTAGCCTATCTATATTAATCCTATTCAAGTTTAACAAACCTTTTTACATTTTTTTTTTTACAAAAAACGTTTATAAAAAATATACAAAAATAATACTCATACAACATTATATGTTTTATATAGTTGAATATATGAATTAAAGATAATAAGTATATAACCTTATCTATATTAAAAAAAATATGATTGTAAGTGAAGAAAGTTACGAATTATGATTACGGTGACCATAAATTCTTCAAAAAAAAATATTAAAAAAAAACAAAACTTAAGAAAAACATTAAAAAATATATTAAAACAAAACGTAAAAGAATTAGAAAAAATTATTCCAATAGAACATCATAAAACATCAATAAATATATTTGAAAAAACATAAACAAATAAGAGAAAAAATATTTGAACAAAATGTTAAAAAATATTAACGAAAAAAATATAAAAGAAAAACATTAAACAATATATTCAAACAAAACCTTATAAATATCTAAATCCTCAAATATATAAATAAATTAAATAAAAGCAATAATAAACAATAGAGAAAATTACATAAATGGTCCCTATGGTAGGAACAAATTACATAAATGGTCCCTATGCTGGAAGGACAAATATGTCATTTCACATGGAACTTAACTGAAAAAGTTAACGCTGTTAGCCCAAAGGACTGTCTCTGCAATATTTAAAAACCACAGGGACCATCTATGTAAAGAATTCGTCATAAGGACCATAATTGGTCGATTTTGTCAACCACAAGGACCATTTATGTAATTTTGTCTATAAATATATGACATGACCACATGGGTAGTGGGATTAGCCCTGTCGAAAATACCCGATACCCGAATTACCCGCCTGATTTTTTCGGGTATCGAGTAAATTTTTTCGGGTAATCGGGTAACCCGATTTTTTTCAGGTCGGGTAAAGGGTATGTTTGTTGGGTTTCGGGTATACCCGAATTACCCGAATTATTTTAAATTTTTTTTTTCATAGACCTTGTACTCTGTAGCATGTATTTGATCACGCTTAAACCAACTATCATTATTATAAAACATGAATCTCTTTTATTATGACAATATATGACACTAACAATATTAAAAGTAATTGTTTATATATCATCTTGTTCTTTAAAACTTAACTGTTTTCAAGATTATAGTTTTTATTGCAACCAACAAACTCATTATCTCGACGAAACTTCAGAACATGGCAAAACTTATGGCTACAATTATCTTAAACATTTTAAACTTTTAAATTAAGATCTTTAAGTATTTGTTTTTTAACATCTTATTAGATTAGATTAAGTTGTTAAAAAATTGCTTGATATTTCAGGTATTATTAACTAAAAAATCTTAAAGCTTGAGTAACTTCGTTTATGCTTGTTTGTTTATATAAACAAGACTAATAAAGCACAACGTATTTATTTCATTAAATTTATTTTCAGGTGAAATTCAAAAAGAAAATTATATATTTCGGGTAATACCCGAATTACCCAAACCCGACCCGATACCCGAATTACCCAAACTCGAATTACCCGAATTTAATTTGGGTCGGGTAACGGGTATTTTTTAACATGAAAAACCCGAATTACCCGAAATCCGAAAAAATTACCCGATCAACACCCTAAGTGGGATGGTCCTTTTTTGCTCTTTAGTCGTTTGACATGCAATTTTTTTTGGAGCTGCAAACTTTAAAAAAAAAATTATTTGGCAGTAAAAGTTTTTAATTTTTAAATTAAACAAAAAGTTTCAACCACCATTTAACAAAAAAAAAGCTCTTTAAAATTTTAACAAATTGAATTAAATATCTTTCAAAATAAATAAATTATATTTATACTTTTGGTAATTATATTATACTATCAAATGTAAATATATTTCAACAATTATAATATCTTTGAAACAAAACATATTTCATATCTAAACTAGATGGGGAGCCCCGCGTTGCGGGGGATGGATTTAGGCAACTTCGATCATTTTGTGTTTTCATGTCCATTTCATTGCTCGTGTTCAACTATAGTTCATTGTCTTAATTGGTATTCATCGTAAAGTATGTTGCTATTTTCTGCAATTCGCTCGTTTATGTAAGGACGTAACAAAATAGAACAAAACTTTCTAAATTATGTCCGTGTCTGACAATATATAAATAGGTGAAAAGATTTTGATATTATATATGAATCCCAAAAGTTTTACATCGGAGAATACACACACTTTCGGTAATGGCCAACAAAGCAATGGCTAAGGCCAGGTTATGGGCAATACGAAGACCTTATAAAACAAACATAAGCACTATAAAAATATGGACAATGTTTCAATACAATTTTCTAAAAATCAGTTGAGTATTAGTAATCGTATACCTACAAATCAACAATACACACACTTTCGATCAAGACCTTGGATCATAGCATATGTGCTCTCAATGCATGCCTATTATTAACTGAAGATATTTAAGTGCATAAAATATTATTTATTTGCATTCAATTTAAATTCATTTGTACACCAACCCCATCAAACCCTAGATGAAAAGGGCCACATATTATGTAAATACAATGCATTATTCAAGTCTACATTTTATAATAGATTATGAAAATTAAGAAAACTGAAGGAATGATATGTTGCTTTTCTGTTGCTGAAGCTGTTTCAGATACGTGGGGATTGCATCCTCTGGAGTTCTACTAAAAAGCTTTGTAGGTAAGTGCCTAAAGATTGCTGCCACAAAACCATTATATACATGGTTTTAGATGATTAAGATAAAAACTCCAAATCATACTATAAAAGTTAGTTACTTATACCTGTATAATTTTGCTAACAGTTGAATCCTCAGCAGGACCAATAGCATAAGAAGCCTTCATAGTAGATCTGAAGCATTTTACAAAAGCCATCAGATTCAACATTTCCATATATGCATTCCAATGCCAAGTTTCGAAATGGGATAGTTAGCAAATGTGATACTTAGTTAAAATGTTTTTGAATTAATAATAAAGAAAAGACTAATATGAAGATTGATGGGGTCAGGCGTAAAGAAATCCAACAGTACTTACGTTTTCATTGAATACAAATCGAAGATGACTCCCGGGTTCATAAATTATTTTAGTTCCAGTGACACCCACCAGACCTGCATTCACAGATTTGTTAGTTTTAGCTTTAATATCCCATTATTTAAATCTATTGTATGAATCCCATTTAGATGGCATTTATTGATTACTTAATATGGATAAAACCTAATCCATTTACATGTTTAAGTTGAAGAATAGATCGTTTTTATAGATCATAAATATATGTCAGGTCAATTGTTAATTATTGTATCTAGATAAAATTACAATTACTTACATTCAATCAAAAAAAAGGTAAAACTAACAATGACTTACCAATAAAAATAGCAACTATCCAAACATAATTTTAGGCAAAGTTATATTTCCTAATACTCATACATTATCTTAATCCAAAACTTGAAAAATAAATGAAAATTAATGAATCATATATATTACATACCTGTTTTATTTGCATCATCTGTTTTTGGATCATTTTCTGATTCTGAAGTAGAAGCCCATCAATCTTTTATGTCATCAAACTCCCAACGGTCTCCTGTTGGAGACCGATTATAGCACAAAATGATCTCCTTCGAATCAAAACCTGATACAACATCCTGCAATTGCTAAAATCAAATTTCTACCAAAAAATAGCATTTTACTTTTTTCATGTTTTTTTTTTAAATTTTAAAATTGTTTTTTTTCGGTATTTGGATGAGATTGAAATAATAGACAGATAGGTTTTTTAAATCTACAATGGTGTAATAGAAAGAAATAAAAGTAGGATGCTATAATACACAAAAAATGAAAGTATATGGCTATAATTAGAAAGATTTTTTTTGACAGGAGAAAAAAAAAGATAAACTATTAGTGAGGAAGGGTAAATTGGTATCTCACAATTTGCTGGCCAAACACTGTTTCTTTTGTAATCCATACTAAGATTTTGAACTCAACGCAAATGGTTGCTGTCGTGCAAGATAAGGAACTTCCACAACTGTCCCTAAAACATCATCTCCAACAATAACTGTGTCCCCTTTTCAAGCAGCTTTTCTCTTGATATACCCTAAACCAAAACACTCATTTCCCTCTTTTCCACCCGTATAACTTGTCAATTTTCCTACCTACAAAAAAACATATTATAACATATCTTGGTTTCTTTATTTTTAGTTTTTAATTAAAAAAAAATAAATTACCTTCTTTCCTTCAACTGTAATTGGAGTATCGGGTTTCATAATAATAATAAT